GATTTAATGGAAAGTGTCATTCAATACATGATCTCGTCATATAGCTGAATAAACCAATAGGTTTCACTTGTTTCAGTGGTGGGAAATGTAATCTGGAAGACTTATGATGCCCCACATTTCATTCTCGCTAGTATTCTTATTTGTCCTTTACTTCATGAGATCTTAAACCAACTGCATAACGTTTGGTTCAATGTAGAAACTAATGCAGATGATATAGTCCTTAGCATGTCTGGGGTGCGATTCGTTCCTTTTATGCTTTAGATACTCCAAGATATCAATGAACAGTTTTGAGCAATATAGAATTAGGTCAGGGATTCAAACCCAAACATGACACTAGTCCATGAATTCCCTGCCAGAGTGGATCATGTAGGTAGTCATAGACTGCTTGGCTTCGTTCTTGAAATGCCCGAAAACGAATGTTAGCACACGCTTGAAGATATGACTTCTAAATAGTATGAATACATTCATTTTTGTCATCTTCTAGATCTATTGAGGTTACATTTCATTTCTGGTCATCAGTTAACTACAGTTAGATGACCATTGTAAGCCAGGGAGTACTAAGCAGGTGTTTCGTCCTTGTTCAGGACTCAGCAGGGATCGAACCCTCATGTTACAAAGTTAACTCAAATTCCACTCAGCCACTGAGACGGAATTCCTAGTTGACAACGGTTCTCTAACTCAAATCAATCAAATCCCATAAGAACTAACGCTTAAATTGTCATTGATTCCCATGGGATTATTCTTTGTTGCGGGCATTTTAGTTGACTATAGTTTGTTTGTATTCTCTGTTTACCTTTATGCCTGCTTTTATAAACTGCTGTAATTTTGTTGAAAGTATTATTGTTAACATTGAACTCAATTCAGTTTAGAAACTGAAGCTAATCTTCACACCAAGCAAAAACTTAGGCTTACGATCACTTGAGGCATGACTCGCTTGCACTTAAGTTAATCTTAGCCACATGTTTTCCCTATTTGTGGTAAATACTCTGTACGTGAAGAATTTATCTTATTGTAGGTAATTTCATCTACTTATTCTGTTTTATAATAAGGTTTGAAAGTTGCTAATGACAAATGAGTCATATTACAATGCACACTGATATGCGAAGGTTAGTAATTAGAGTTGGAAATTAGTAAAACCAATCAGAGTGAAAAACAGATAACTACTCCTCAAACTGAATGTTCGTCAGAGTTATTTTTGTTTTATTCCTTTACGTTCCTGATGGAGCATAGGGCTTCGAGGTAGAGACTTGAAGCTTCTGTAGCAGTAGGGATTATTTTTACGGGATGGGTTGCTAGCCTCATGCCCAACTTTCACCCTTTACCAGTCTTATTACTGGCTTAGCGAGATAAAGGAGTGCGCCGGCCGGGGATCAAACCCCGGACCACCTGCGTGGTTCATTAGCATTCTACAGATGTGCCACCGACGCATACATATCAGTTTTCTTCAGTATTCGGACGGAATCACCTTAAATATATATTTTTTGAACAAAGAAAGAAGAAACATTGACGCTGAGTAATCTGGATCCATTTTATTTCGTTGGTTCTCATCAGCTGCATACAACCTGATTATTTTAATTAAAAATAAAAAGTGTACAATTTTAACAAACCTTTAACCATTAGCAAGCATAGTGTCAGAGCGTCATAGTAAAATAAGGCATTGAGATTTACAGGGTGTCTAAAGTGTCACGACATATATATATATATCATGGTAGAGAGAAGTTTCTTGAAAAAATTAGTTAACAGTTGTGTTGTTAAGGTGGTAACAAAAACAGTTAGCGATAATTACGTAATTGGATAAGAGAAGATCAAAATTTAAATTACGGTGCACATGAGGTCAGGTGAAGTTGATGATGTAATACAGTGAGCAGAACTCAGAAGATCAAGAAACATTATCTCTCAATAGAGTCAAGCGAAACATAAAGGGGATGGGGTGGGGTGAAATGGTAAGTTAACAAAATTAGCAAAAAAACGATTTAAGCCTGAGTTACCAGGATAACTGTTGGACTTCAGTTACCCTGGTAACTCAGGTCTTAGTAACTCTTTGTTTTCTAATTTTGTTAACTTACCATTTCACCCCACCCCATCCCCTTTATGTTTCGCTTGACTCTATTGAGAGATAATGTTTCTTGATCTTCTGAGTTCTGCTCACTGTATTACATCATCAACTTCACCTGACCTCATGTGCACCGTAATTTTAAAATTTTGATCTTCTCTTATCCAATTACGTAATTATTGCTAACTGTCTTTTGTTACCACCTTAACAACACAACTGTTAACTAATTTTTTCAAGAAACTTCTCTCTACCATGATATATATATATATGTCATGACACTTTAGACACCCTGTAAATCTCAATGCCTTATTTTACTATGACGCTCTGACACTATGCTTGCTAATGGTTAAAGGTTTGTTAAAATTGTACACTTTTTATTTTTAATTAAAATAATCAGGTTGTATGCAGCTGATGAGAACCAACGAAATAAAATGGATCCAGATTACTCAGCGTCAATGTTTCTTCTTTCTTTGTTCAAATTTATAAAAGGGAATCATTATGTATTTTTTTGATTATCGCTTGATTCCACTCCGTATTTTCTGTACAAGTATGGAATTGTCAACATATGCTATTGGTAGCCTAAATTTCGTATGCCGACCAGAGATATCAGGTGCGCGTCGGCAGAGGATCGAACCCCGGGCAATGTGCATGGTCGGCGAGCGTCCTGACCCTGTGCCACCGGTGCACTCCTCAGATTTATAAAATACTGATTTCTGCTTTCTATTTTACTGTTCAATAAGATGTATTATTATTCATGTCAGTGAGTACTTCTAATCAAATTTTTTAAAAATCTAATGATTTCTCATTAACTTTATACTAGTCCTAGCAATAATGCCGTTTCTTATATCATTACCACGTAGTTTTTTCTACCTGCCTTTCAAAAATTACTGGTGACTGATAGAGATTCCAGTATGATGACTGTCACCAAAAGTGAGAAAAATATTTTTTAAGAAAAAAGATTCCATGAAAATTTAAAAACAATATTTTCGGTAGTAAAAAGAAATTTATAAAATTATGCAGAGGTGGAGATTGAAATTTTTTAATTTAATAAGCAAATTAATAATACTGTGAGAAATTAAGGCAATTGAAAAATCATTAGTTAAGAAATTGTAGATAATCCTAAAGAAATGCATTACTCTGTACTGAGACGGAGAAAAATTTTGAATTTAATTTGACAAAATAAAAAGATTAGACATTCTTGTGTCTGGATAGATTTATGAAATTTAGCATTTGAAATTCAATTACCCAGAGTTTGAATCAAAACAGAAATTCTAAAAATAGAATAATCTTAGAAATGAACGTTCACAAATACAACGCCTAAAGAAGAAGTAATCTTAATTACTGTGTGCTTTTATTTTCTTTTTTGCTAAAAAATCAAAGTGTTCTTGTAGTTTAGCAAAATTTTCAATATTTTATGTGTCAAACTGTTGTATTTTTTTAAACGACATCATTTGAAAAGCTTGACAGTGACTGTAAGTTAGATGTGCTTCAGTGGAATTCAGCAAAGATGGGATTTTCCTCATGGTAAATAGTGTCTCTGTCCCAGTAGGTAATGTTGCTTCGGCTAGGACCTAATTCAACGCTCAAATCTCTTACTGATAGAATGTTATTTTTTGAGATACCTCTGCGAGAAAAAACGCCTGATTTGCACTCAATTATATGTAAATTATCATAATTCGTGATGATATGAGATGGTTGGAGGCAATCGGCAGGAAGCCTTGGACCTAGGTTTCGTGCTAGTTGGCAGTCGTCAGCAAGGCGTATCTGCAACCTTGAAGGAACTCATGTCCCTTCTGAGATTCGAACCCGCGTCACCCAGTGCTGCAGTCAGAGACGTTACCACTGAGCTATTCGGGCTAGCGATTGACCTCCTGTAGGGCTGTAGTGGATATTCTGATTTGACACTAGTAACTAGTGTGATGCGTCTAGTCCTCTCTTTGGTGCAGACTGAATCCTATCAGTCAGGTTGTAATGTGGCCACCATTCTAGGTAGCTCGCCATCACGGTGTACATTGTTTGTGATGATATGAGATGGTTGGAGGCAATCGGCCCGAATAGCTCAGTGGTAACGTCTCTGACTGCACCACCGGGTGACGCGGGTTCGAATCTCAGAAGGGACATGAGTTCCTTGAAGGTTGAAGATACGCCTTGCTGACGAGTGCCAACTAGCACGAAACCTGGGTCCAAGGCTTCTCGCCGATTGCTTCCAACCATCTCATATCATCACAAACAATGTACACCGTGATGGCGAGCTACCTAGAATGGTGGTCACATTACAACCTGACTGATAGAATTCAGTCTGCACCAAAGAGAGGACTAAACGCATCACAGTAGTTACTGGTGTCAAATTTTTATTCTTTTTAATTTTTTAAAATTTTGATTACAGCTTGATTCCACACCGTATTTTCAGTACAAGTATGGGACTTTCAGCATGGATATCGGTAGCCCAAATTTCACAGGCCGACCATAGATATCGGGTGTGCGCCGGCAGGGGATCGAACCCCGGACCATGTGCATGGTCGGCGAGAGTCCTAACCACTGTGTCATAATTCATTTGTCTGTTGGATAAGGTACTGACATTAGAATGTATTTGTGCTGATCAAGCCAGTATTCATGGTTAACTTGATAGCATCTGCTTATATTGTGCAAATGTCAATAGCATAACTTTATTCTCTGTAATGTTTTCCAGTCTCTGAATCATCTTAATCGAAGTGTGTTAGACAGGTTTGTCAATATAAGTTTGTTTCTGCATTTTTCACATTTTTTTCACCTGATTTTGGAATTGTTATTTGAGTTAGACGACATCCTAATTTAAATTTCACTTGGATGTTTTTACATATCAAAAGTGTTTTCTGGTCAAAGACAGATTTATTGTATAAGTATATTAAGTTTTAATTCAGTTTGTTAATTTAATGATTTTGTAATAATATTTTTTTCTTCATTCCAGCCTTAGAGCATTGCACGGTTGTCCAAAAATACAATATGATTCTAAATTAGCAAGTGATGCACAAAAATGGGCTGAAAATTTAGCCAAAAAAGGCTATTTACAGCATAGTCAAGCAGATGGTTACGGTGAGAACTTGGCATTTCAGATGTCATCTGCGGGTGCATCACTAAGAGGTAAGTAAAACTTCAGTAACTTATTGGTGTGAGCAATCAGCATAAAAAAGTGCCATAGATTTTAAGAAAGAACACTTTATCTGAAAAAATGGGGGAGAATGAAAATACTCCTCATTATAAATATTAGAAAACCATGTTCACTTTTTAAGTAAACACTACTTATGATGACTAATAGGCATCGATGGTTCACTAGTAAAATGCTCACCAACTGCACAAGTGGTCCGGCCGATGTACTCCTAAGCCTCGCTTTGCCGGTAGTAAGCCCGGTGAAGACAGATGGGCCAGTTTGAGAAGAGTAGCTCCACTCCGTAAAAATAAATACCATTGCTACTGATGCTTCAGAGCTCAAGTTTGAAGCTTTATGTCTTACTCAAAACGCAAAAGAATAAAACAAAGGATAACTAATAAGGGAACTAATACAGCTAATATGAAAGTCCAAGGTTGTTTAGTTGCAGTTAGATGAAATAAAGGTCAAATGCCAAATGCGATAGTAGACGTTCAAGCTTGTGACGATCATTTATGCTTGTTTATGAGACTGCTGATTATATCATAAATTGGCTGTATAAACAACTGAAGTCTAGCGAAATCCAAATTTATGACTGGAACTCAAACGCTAAAGCCTATGAAACACAGGTGGTTAAACGACTGCTTAACCGGCAACTAATTGAATCACATTTTACTGCCTGAAACAGCATTCATTATGGTTAGAAAAAACAACAGATTGAGTGAAGAAATGTTTTCCTTTTCAATTAGTTCTTCATCATTGGCTAGGTTTACACTAATTTATAGTTTTTTACATCAGAATTTTACCAATCAAGTGGTTTAGTTAGTCAGTTCTAGATATAGGAGGGGAAAATAAAACGTTGAAAGTCATCAAGACAATTAGCTAATGGATGTTAGTGACAAAATGTCTAAGTTTGAAGGAGGGGTGAAACTTAATTACGAAATCTGAGATTAATTAATTCATAGGCGTTAGCAACAAGTTATTACATAATGAAGAAATTAGTAGAATAATGATGATTAAGAATAATAAGGTGACTCAGAATAATTACATAAAATACAAACAAGTTTAATGAGTTAGCTAGAATTGTTCAAATAACGAAATCAATAAATAAAACTGGAGGGAAAAATCGTTTCTTAAAAACTTAAAACATATTACGTTGTTATCCATGGCAAAGAAAGTGGCTGTACGAATTTCTTTTGAACACACAGATTTGACTTTTTCATATGAATTCCGATTGCCTCTGCTGTATGTAAAAATCGTAGTCATTGACTATGCGAGAGGTTGTGTGGTATACGATAACTTTAAAAGTTTTGTTACAGTCACCTTGACTTTCAGTCAGTATCAACGAGGTGAGCTATTATTCAGCTGAGTGTAACTCTATTGGGACCATTGCCAAACCAAGATGGAAGGTGATTAGAAATCCGAAGATGAACTTGCTTGTTCGTACGCCCAATGTAACAAGCTCCTCACAAACACTTCAACTGGTATAGACACACAGAAGAGGCAAAAAAGGCCATTTTGTCTTTACTTTTCGAATTAAGAATTCGGGGGCTAGTGAATATACAGCACAGCTTAGCTGTGATAAGATCCCACTATTGACACCACTCGTGAACTGTTATCTTAGGAGGACTGATTTTTGTAATCACCTTCAGCTTTTTTACTTGCTGAGTTCATGTGCTTTTTCAATAATTTAGTCGGATATCCGTTTCTAATTGTAACAACAGAAGACAAGGGCCAGACAACAGATCATTTATTAAGGAAATCAACGCATATTTATGTATTTGCATGTACATTACTATGGTTATTTAAACAAAAAACACAGTCTTCCGATTGGTTGTTTCTCACGTAAAGTTAATCTATCATCTATTTGTGACTGTTTCTTGAATGTCAAATCCTCTATATGTTAACTGCATCCGCCTACGCAAAGTCTGCTGTGGTCGGTTTTGAATCAATCTTTGTTCATATTTTCTCACGACAAATCTTGGGAACGTAAATATTGACGTAAATTACTGTCTACCAATTTGGCTAGTAGACAGCTCTCACCACCTACTTAGTAGATCATCAATATTACGGAGTTCTCCGTTCAATGTCTCATTTGAACAGTTAATTCGAGTTCAGCGAACCAGACATCTAACCAAATTACGTTTGCATTGTAGAGGTACGAAGCTTAGGACGTCATTTGGACGTTCTAAAAGGAGATAGAGTCATTTTCTTCCTCTTCTTTAGTGAAGCTTATGCCAGGATGTGTTTTTTATTGGGTTTTTCTAATATGTCCTTAGTCTCACTTCCTTTCATTACAACTATACATGTATCATAGATATATCGGCAATTAAAATCAAGATTATATATTACATCTATAAGATTACCGTTCTCCTGTTTCGCCGGGAAAATCGTTTTGACGACTCTGAATCTCTTAATTTCACCTTGACCTCCTATCCCTAAAACTGATTGACTGAAATAACCACTTGATTGATGAATTGCGATATGAAAAGCTGTATATTAGTGTAGGGCAAGCCCATAATGAGGAACTAATTGAAAAAGAGTGTGTTTTTTCACTCAGTCTATTGTGTTTTTTGTATATGCATAAATTGGAATTAGGAAGTTTATCATGCTGAATATTTATGAATGACACATTTTGCGAAGAGTTGGAGAATACCACAGATGGTAAGTTCTAGGCGTTAACACCTCAGCAATAAGCATACGTGACCTCACTGGCTTACAGATAAAGCACATTACATCTGTTACTCCAGTAAGGAATGCACCAGACATGCATTGTCATCGCTAGCTTACCTGCCATCTACTTTGGCAGAATTCATGAAAGCCTCATCAAGCTGACTTTCTGCGATGTATGATTTTCGTTTGTTTCAAAGTTGTTGCCAGTTGGTGGCAAATGAACTAAGATCTGAGAATTAGTCCACTAATAGTTAGACAGTAATTATGAAGAGAACAGCCAAAAGGTTTAACTAGAGGACATGACAAGTAGACATTTTAAGTCCAACGCAAGAAGTCCTGTTTGTGGAAGACACAGCGTCGCAAATGTTCTATGTGACGGAATAGCAGAACTTTCAAATTTAAAATAGATTTAAAAAAGATGAATTGACAATAATTATATTTTTACTGACGACAGTAATCTGAAGCCTGAAAAGATAAGCATATATGAGCAACTGTAACTAAGATCTCATGCATATCCCTGATTTGCATTTCCGACTGTTTTGTGTTTATGGATGTGTTACATTTCGTCAGTGTACTCGCTTTACCAACCCTTAATAAAGATTTATAAGTACTATAGAAACAGGTGTTTAAAACTGCTGCATGCGCATGGCGTTTGACAATAGGTGTATAGTGATTAACACAGTCCTGTGTAATGTAACAGAGGTAATCGGTAGATGTGGATTAGAAGAACTAATCGCCGAAATATTTCCCCTTTTTCACCGGTTTCTTCATGTAACTTTAATAGTGAAGAGAATTGTTTGATGTGAAAATCTTGCCATTTTATGATAAACAGCTCAGAAAGGATGTTGGATAGTTCAATACTCGCTTATAAGCGCTGATTTACAGCTATGACGTAACCAACTCTTTGTTTGTAAGATCGAATCTTACAAATGTACTAGCGGAATAACTACTCCTTTCTATGAAACATGCTTGTTGATTTTTCTGCATTAGTTTCCTCTTCAAATAACTAACTCATCTGCTTACTGTTTTATTTTTTGTAACTCCCATTTTATCATTTCTCCGGAGTAAATATCAGGTACCAGCATCCATTTACCTTAGGGTGTCAGGTTAATAAATAAAAAAATGAACGGTACAGTGAGGCAATTATTGAGGCAGTATTTAAATGCGGTTCCAAATTACTTGTACAGTTTTGTCATCTGTTCGTCTTACACTGATTCGTTTTTTATGTCAACTTCTGTTGTCTACATAGATACTTATATTAGTGTTAAACATAATTCTCTATTTTGACAGGTCATGAAGCCACTAGAAATTGGTACGATGAAATCAAGAAGCACGATTTCAGTGGACAAAATCAAGCTGGAACAGGTGAGCAGTTACTACTGGTTGTTTTAAAATATTTTACTGAATATGACCAATGAATTCTACAAGACTTTAAGCTAACCTGTTTTTACAGGATAGATCACGAGTTGATATCCATTGGAGAAACGTTGGATCGGGATCAACTCTGTAACCGATAAAATCATTGCAAATCAACGCTTGGCAATTAATCTGATGCTCCCTAGCGACTTGCCCTATAGAAGAAGTGTCTGTAATTCTAGTGAGAGATCGTACCCAGCGATGTTAACCAAGTTAGGCGACAGGACAGTTACTCACAGATGACGCTTGCTGGCAAATTGGCAGAGGCTGGGATTCATGGACCATTGGGGTCTACTCCCATTGACTTTACGGTCTACGAGTTCGCCTTGTAATCAGAAGGTCTTCTGTTCGAACCCCAGTGAGTGAGTAATACTGAAGAGTCCCAAACTAGGACGTGGCAGCTGTTCAGTACTTCCAGTGGTCCTCTAACTGATGTCAGATTGTGATTAGACCTGAAAACCTTTACAATTAACCTGTTTTTGTTGATATAACTGGATGACTTAAAATATCAAACTTTTAAGTTGAAGATAATTAGTTAATACATGCACATCAATTGTAGGGGGAACCACCTTGAGTGGTAACAATGTCGTCAGCTGATAGTGATTTGAATAAATGAATATCTTACTTGCTATTGCATTCTAATCAGTAGTATTTACATCTCTTAAACTGCAAAGTGAATCACACAGAAGACACTCTGGTGATAAAATGACTACTAATTTAGGTCATAATTCTGGTGCTTAATTCTATTTTTAGTCATTAGCTTTGTAAAAATGAGTAACTAAATCGGATTTTCAGCAGTAACTTAGTGGATGGATGAAGATACTCAACAGCATGTTATTGTTCATTTCACTGTTCAGACGAAGAAAACTCTTGCATACGTAAAGATAAGCATGTGTGTGTCGGTGGCACAGCGGTTATGACTCTCGCCGATCATGAACATGGTCCGGGGTTCGATCCCCTGCCGACGCTCACCTGATATCTATCGTCGACCTGCAAAATTTGGGCTACCGATATCACATGCTGAAAATTCCATACCTGTACCAAAAAATACAGTGTGGAATCAAGCTGTAATCAAAAGAATTTTTAAAAAAGCATGTGTATAAATCTACAATTCTATGAACAGTTTAAACTATCCTTGAAGAATATAAGATTATATTTTTCGTACGAATTAGATCTCTTAAAACTCCATTGTTAGGAAATCCCAAAATTTGAAAAACATGATCTGCATGCGTTTTACGTTTGCATGGCGGCATCTCGATACATCAGCATGAATTATGGGGCTTTCATTTTCATAGCTTATTAGTTTTATTTTGTTAAATAAAAATTCCTGAATAGTGAAAATTGCCACAGTAATATCACCAGCTCTAAAAAAAGCAATTGTAATCACTTGAACAACATGCTTATTAGCACAGTAACAATATTCCTGGCACGTGAAAACAAAAAAAACTAACTGCTGGTGGGATTCTCATGCTATCTTGAACAATACTCAAAACAGTTCAGGGTCAAATGTGTTCAAAATGATTTCGAAAATCACTATAGGCACTGATAGATTTAAAGAAGTAAGGCTTAAGGCTTCAGAAAAAGCAGGAAACACAAAAGGATGAGAGCAACGTCAGGAGAGTGCAAAAACAACAGTCTGGAGTTGCTTCAAGGTTCCGACTTTCTTTTCCTTCACTTTCCCCAGTGGAACATAGGGCTTCAAGCTAATGGCTTGAAGTTTCTGTAGCAGTGTTTATTTTACAGGATGGGGTTGCTAGCCTCATGCCCAACCTTTCGTCTTCACCAGCATTATTTCTGGCTCAGCGAGGTGAAGGAGTGCCTTGTCGGCCGGGGATCGAACCCCGGACCATGTGCATGGTCGGCGAGCATCCTAGTCACTATGCCACCGACGCACAAGGTTCCAACTTAATATTATGCAAAAGCAGAAACAAAATCAAGGATATAACACGCTGTTAATTTATAAAAAAGGGCATCAGTGAAAGTGCGTTCCAGATACACCAGCAAATCTTTACCTGTCATTGTGAATGACTATTTATTTCGGGTGTGTATATATATGTAATTTACCCAAAAAGGATAGCTGACATTATCCTACATGCTTCTTAAGGAGTAATAATGAAGTGATAAGAGGAGCCACAAATAAACAAATTCTCGAAAGTTTTATCTCTGTCTCTCTCTGTAGAGACAACGCTTTCAAGGGTTTTGATAAAGTTAAAAAAGAAGCCTCCCACAAAATGGTAGACATCTCCGATAACCATCTACATAAAAAGCTCATTTTATCTACACAAAGGGAAACATGTCCAAAAAGCTTTTCTGCTTTGGTCTTAGTTTCAAGTGTCATTCTTCTTTTTCAATAGACATCAAACTTCTTAATTTCTTAAAACAATTAGTTCTTTAAATAAATTTGGATTGCGTTATTAGATGAGGGAGTTTATCTGAGAAATATAATGTATTTGCATTATACATCTTCAACACTCTGATCACACATTTACTTGTCAAGTCAATTCGTAAAAAAATAAAAGGTCTATCAAAAAACGAACAAAATGACAAGGGATTTAAGAAAATGGAAAGTCCAAGTGTGGGTTTGTGAGGATTTGGTTGTTCACAGAATTGCATCATGAATGAACACTGGTTAGAGGACCTTTGGAAAGCTGTTTCGTCTTCTCCTGGACTCTTCACAGTATGCACACATTGGGGTTGGAATCAAGGAACTTCCGGTCACAACGCCAGCTCGTAGACCACTAAGGCACTGGGATCCGATCCATGAATTCCTACTTCTGACAATCCACGATACTGCATTACCACTAGCCAATGTCATCGGTGGTGAGTATTTGTCCTTTCACCCGAACTGCTGCACCTTACTGGTCACGACTTCTCACTACAACCCAGATAACTGCGTACCTGAATAGGGCCAGTTGGGTCCTAGTGGCGTAATGGTCTACGAGCTCTCCTTGTAACCAGAAGGTCCTGGGTTCCAATATCAGTGGGTGCGCACTGTGAAGAGTCCCAAACTAGGACGAAACGACTGTTCATTACTACAAGGTTCCCCATTGATCCTTTAACTTATAACAACTCTTAATGTAAAAGGAAAGTATTTGACACTACTTTTGCATATTAATTTGTTTATTCGAGCATATCATGTAGAGACACAGCCTTATTTATTGGATGATTTTCGAATAGAGTTTATTGTTCATATATATGTCAGCTGACAGTTTATTGAAGAATAAATTGTGTTCAAAACTTCATCCGGTGAATAACGCTACTCCACTCTACAATATGTCCAGTAAGTAAGTTAATATGGAATTTTTACAATCGCACTGCCTAAGTTTTACAAATATATCATCAGTACCACAGCCTACCTAAATCACGGGCTGCCCCTAAATTTTCACATCCATCAATATGCATCGTGTTTACTCCGTTTCATATTGGTTTCATGATCTGATTGCCACGGTGAATCACAATTCATATTCGCGCACTATTTCAAATAATTTTCTGCATTTCTCTGGGAATTTTTCCAAGGAAATGGAGGAAGAATATTATGAAGTAATACTGGAGCAAGCTTAAGGGTGAAACTATGTTTTTTCGTATATATTATGGATTGTTATATTGTTTGCAGATTCTGCACAAGGAGTGAATACCTCACAGTGAAATTCTCTGAATTCTGAATTGTGTTTAAACGCATTTTTCAGAGTAAAGCTATTATTATTAAATAATAGGATAACCACTGCCAAAGTAGGTTAATGGTGATAATAAATTGTTTTTGTGCACACAAGAGGAAGGGGTATTTTACGGATAGCTATCGCTTCAGCATATTTCATTGACAGTTTTGATGGATCATCATGTAAGCTTTTATTTGGAGGACGGTGTTTAGCAGTTGAGAGTCGTCGGCTGGACGTAAATGTATTCTCAGAAAGTGATGGTGTTCCCACTGAGATAGTGCTGGCGAACTGAGTGGCCTAGTGTACAACACCTTGGCGTCTAGAGCGATAGGTTATGGGTTCGAGTCTCAGTGGGAAAACTTTTATTTATTTGAAGTGCAGGCACATCCAGATGAAGATTCCCGAACTGGACGAAGAGCGCATTCTGGATCCCACGGCTAGACAGCATCCAACAAATAACAAGGTAATCCTTGTACATCATCGAAACGTCCAAACTGATGACTGGTGTGTCAACAGACACTGAACATTTTGGTCTAATACAATTAAAATTGGTGTTTCGGAAAATCACTCGTCCTGTGTTGAGTCTTGCAGTAGGGAATGTTTTTGGCTTTTTGACAGTTACTTTGGTAACTTCCCATATTCATCGCTTACATGATGTCCATTCATTTTTCTTATTACTTATATCTGATTTTTCAAATGAATCTTCATTTTATGCTGTCGTTGATTACAAATAATCAGTTTTCATTTTTTCTTCTGTTTTCTTCATGACTCAATGGAATTTTCCGAAATCCGATTATATCGTGACCAATATTCATCACTTAGAAGTATCTTTTTGATTCCGATTACTTATGTGATCTAAATGGCGTTTTAACTTTTTGTTTCCTATTGTTATGACCAACCACTTCACTCAGTATATTGAAAGCGTTTACCGAAAAAATTCCATATAAATGAGATTTTACGGTTAACGAGAAGACTTCTTGCTAAACTAAGTGTTCTTCTGTTTCTTCTTAGCGTTTTGACTGACACACAATAATCTGCATTGAATATCAGCATAGTTACTGGAAGGAAGCAAGATTTCTTAAACAAAATATCAGTACAGCAAAAACATTCGGGCATTTATAAAACACAAAATAATTGAACAAAGAATATCCTTTTGGATAATTTCCTCTTCCGGCTCTACTATTATATATATGTTTATATACATGGAATATTCTAGAATAGTAGTCAATATCAATATTGGTGTTTTTATAAATAATATCGACTTTTTAAGTACAACCAATGGAAATACAGTTC